TCTCCAGCTGAACAGGCCCAGCTCCCCCAGCCTCTCCTCATAGGGCAGATGTTCCAGGCCCCTGATCATCCTTGTGGCCCTGCGCTGGACCCTCTCCGGCCCGAGCGGTGCTTACCGGGACTGCTGCACTCCATGGTGCCGTTAGCTGCGGAGTAGCCTTCGGGGCAGGTGACGTAGCATCGCCCTTTGTGCAAATACAACCCTTCCTTACACTTTGTGCAAAAGTTTCGGCTGAAACAGGACTCACAGTTCTCGATTTTGCATTCTGGGGAGAAAACACAAAGCTGTCAGGTCGCCTGCCGGGAGCAAACTGCGTCTCTGGCCGTCCCGCCGGTGCCAGCGCATGTGTTAGTGGTCAATCCCCTTTGCTCTGCTGCTCATGCAGGACACAGCCCTGGGTTGCAGCCTGTAGAGCCACCACAGCCACCACCAGGTCGAAATTGGACCAGGGGGAGATCTGGGCTCATGTTCAGCCTGGGCATCAGTCAGCCAAGGTGGAAAAGTGCAAGGAATAAGATCCAGTGCCTACAGCTGCAGCTGTGGCCCCAGCAGAGGCTGCAAAGGAGCCGGGTCGGGCGGAAAGCTGGCCATGAGGTGGCTTGCACAAAGCTGCCAGGGAAATGATCACGTTTTTCCATGTCCAGTTTCCTTCCCACTGCTCAGGCCGAAAGAGGCAGCTCCAGGCCAAGGATCTCCTTCAGAGAGCTAATTCTTTATGGGGACCAGGCAGGAGACAGCAATGAGGGACATGTGCGAGTAGGTCCTGCCGCTGGCAGGATTTCCCTCCTGCTGCTGCCTCTTGGAGAAGGAGGATCCTAGTTCTCGTAGCAGGGACCCAGGCGCCTGCAGGACGGCCCTATCCATGAGACCCAAGGGACCCAGCCCTGCATGGGGACTGGCCATGAGACATGGAGCATCATCCTTCTCCGGCTCCCATGCGGGATGCCGCCTACCACGGTGCTCGGGCAACGGCACCGCAGGGGATGGAGATGGTTCCTGGGGGCGCTGATGGCCACGTTTCATCCCGCCCGACGCGGGGCAAGGCGCGGTGCGCCGGTACTCACTGATGCACTTGTTCATGTCCGTGTTGCGAAGGCCGAAGTACCCCAGCGGACAGGAGGGCAGGCAGATGCCGATCTGGCGGATGTCGTTCCTCTCCAGCAGGATGAAGAGCTTGGGGGAGCATCGCAGGCACCCGTTGAACTCGGAGCACAGGTCGCAGCCTCGTGCGCAGCCCTGGCTCAGCTCGGTGCTAACTGCAACGCAAGAGAGAGCCGGCGCTCAGCACCGCGTCCCGCACCACCCTGGGTGACACCGTGTCCCCTCTTACGCTACGTGTGCCCGGTGACACCAGGGACCGCGCTCAAAATAGAGATGTGCTCCCAGCGCCACAGCTCTGTCCAAGAAAAACACTCAATCCTGTGTCTTGAGAATTTTCTGCTTTCAATTATCATACGAAATGCTGCTTGTTTTGAAAGCGAGGGCAATCTTTGCAGGCTAGAATGCAGGTTATTTTTATTAGCTTATTATGCAAGCAGCATCCTTGTTTATGGAGTGGCTGTTAAATGCTGTGTTTACTGGCCCTCAAGAGGGAACACGGCGTGCCAGAGCGATCGCATGCCCGGCTGAAAGGTGGGAAAACCTCCCTGTCCCTCCGGCACAGCCAGCAGTGCCGTGGCTGCGGCCCCCGGGGGCCCGCCGGGGATGCCAGTGGCTCCGGGTGCGGAAAATGAAATGGAAAGCGCAGCCAGTCCCTGCCCACATGGAGCGGATGCTCCGAGCTGGCTGGGGACCGCTGGCCAGGTCCAGAGCGTGGCCCCGCGTGGTGCCAGGAGCCCGGCACATCCCCGTGCTCGGTGCAGCAGCATCACATGCCAAGCTCCCCATCTTCCCTCTGAGGTCAACACTCACCGCTTTAATATAAGATAACTTACATAAAACATAGCTTAAATTGTTTTTAATGGAAGCCAGGTGAAAAGCAGCTTGCATGAGTGAGAGCAACCCCACACAGCAGCTGTGAGCCTGTTAGCACAGGTTAATGCTGGGTGCAGCTAGCCGGGGTGATCGCGCCCCCTCAAAGCGGGCACCTATAGGTGCTCTGCACCCTGGAGCTGCCTTGGCCGGGCTCTGGGCAGCCTGTGCACTAGGTGAATTCACAGAGGGGAGAGGAGCAGAGCGCTGTGCACGTACTTCGCCTTTGCCTCTTGCCCTTGAGCACTTTGCTGCTGCCCGTCAGATCCATGGAGCTCAGAAACACCACCGCCACAAAGAGTCCAAGCTGCATAGTAGCCCCCGCGCGGCAGCCCCCACGTCGCAGGGAGGACGGGGCCGCGGGAGCTCGCGCTGCTGCTGCTAGTGGGTCTCGGGCTGGATCAGGCGCGAGCGGCTGCGCGCGGAGCCTGGCGCTGGACCATATCCGCAAGCGGCAACGTGGGCCACGGGCAGCTCCGGTTGCGGGCCGCGGGGTCACCAGCCCCATAGGGAGCACGGGGGGCTAGTCCCATCCGGGGGCTCGGGCTGGGGGTGCCCGCTGTGTGTCGTGTCCGTGTGCGTGCCCAGGACCTGGAAAGAGAACAGAGAACAGGGTGATTTTGGCAGATAGTTGACGCTCTTTGCATCGCTCCTGCAAGCACTCGGCTGGGTGCAAAAAAGGGGACACAAAAGCCTTGTGGCGAAGCTGAAGCAGCAGCACATGGAGGAGATTGCCCACCACGCTCGCCCACCACTCACTGCCCTGCTCAGCAGCAAAGAGCATGCCATTCCCATCGAAATGCGTGCAATTTTGCCATCTGCTGATGCCGCACATGTGCCAAAAGCATCAGTCGTTGCTCTGGGCCACGGCTGGGCAGTGAGCAGACGGCTGCTGTGCGCTGCCGAGCTCATGGGCGGCTGGTCTGGGGACAGAGCGGGACCTGCAATGTGCTGCGAGTGCCTTGCATGGGGCATCACCTCCTGCAGAGGCATCGGGGTGCTGTGGGACAAGGGCATGTGGTGAGGAGCTGGGAGAAGCTGCAAGCAGCAGGAGAACACCCCTAGGAAAGGGTGATTCCTGCAGGCCTGCAGCTCCTCCAAGCTGCTGCTGCAGGATCACCGCTCTTGCTGCCGGCGCTGCATCCTGCAGCATCGCCCGCGGCTACGGATTAATAATTAGTTGCTTGCATAAACGCTGTTTGCTGCTCACTGGACATGACCACGTGCTGGAGACGGGACCGGCTGCCGCAGCTGC